AATAAACGTTTCAGCTGAGAGAGCAAGATTAAGTAGAATTATATCTGCATATAATAATTAAACCCGGCCTAACCAGCCTCTAGGTATATTTTTAAAGAAAAACAAACACAAAAATTCTGCACGTGCGCTCAGTAGGTTTTAACGTTAAGCACGTATTTGGCAACATGTAACCGCTAAGCAGACCATCAACTTTAATTCCTCTGGTTTCTGCGTAATAGCGTCAGTCACGAGGCACCACAGTGGATATGACACACCGTGTGGGTTTATTTTTCATACATCGGCAGCAGTGAGAAGATTTACAATTTCCCTCTCCCTGACATCAGTGCGCAAGCCAAGCAGGCCGCTCCGCAGGCTTCGACGAAAGGGCACTGCGCGCCGTTCCCGCGAACACAGGGAGCGGCTGTAACACCTTGTCCCTGATGTCAGTTACAGCTGTTGCCCCATCTCAGGCATATCGGCAAAGTAAAGCTGCGTGAGCAGAGGAAGGCTGCTCTGAAAGGCACCACAGGACACTCTTCCTGTGTGGGTGACATTGTGGGCGCTCTTTCAGAAAAAAAAGATTTAAAGAAATTCATGCTTTTTTCCCCCACGGTTGCAATTTAGACCACAAACTTCTCTCTCTTTCCTTTTAAGCTCTGATAAGAACCACCCCGCATTTCTGAAGGTTCTAGGAGCACGTCAAGGCTCCTCCTCCCCCTTGTCAAGGTCCAGGTGTGTGAAGATCCAAGAGAAAAACCATTGCCTGAAGTCACGCTTCGGCCTGCAGGTAACAGCAGCACCCAGGATGCAGATGGGAAGTCCTTCTTAGAGAAGAAAAAGCAGAGAGTTCACCGCCTCCCCCCACCTTACACACGTCAGACATCTCTGGGGGTCTCAGGACCAGAACTCTGCCTGAGGCAGCTGACAGGACTTGAAAGAAACCCTCAGTTCCAGGGGAGACGCGCCAACATTGTCGCCATGCTCCATGTGGAGAAAGCATTTGCGTGGAGGCGTCCGCCCCTCCCAGACGTGCAGCCGGACTGTGGGCAGACGGGCCGCGGAATCTCAGCAAAGTTTCTGACAGCCTGCTCTCCAGACAGGTGGGGGGCAGCCTGTCAACGGGGGACGGACAGAGGAGGCTGGAGTGATGGCCAAAGTGTTGGCGCCCTTGGCAGCACCTGGTTCAGCTCAGTGGCAGCCAATTCCAAAAAGTTTCTATTTAGCCAGACATTCACGGGTCATTATCAAGTCTTGATGAAAGTACGAATAAGGATGAGCTCTGTAACG